TTTCACTTCTGAGAATCTCGCTGAAGGGAATAATCATAACTACAAAGATCAATGCACAAAGGTATTCCCAAAAATATCATTTCTGATTATAAGAAACTTAAATGACATGTTCAGCATTATAGAAATGGTTAAATGAATTATGACCAATCTGATCAAACACTGTGTGGTCATTTAAATGAAATTTATGAAAAGTTTCCAAGGCACAGGGCGAAGGCTCATGGTGTAATTGACGCTAAGCGAGTAGAAAGCAAGGATGTGGTGCTCCATGGGCAGCATGCCCATGCTCTAGACAATTAGAAAGTTCTCAGGGAAAAAAAAGTGATTGACTTTGGCTAAAATATTAATGGAACAAGGTGAATGGCTGCTAATCTTGTATGATAAGCTGTTTTTTGAATTTGTCACAAAGGGCACATATTATTTTAAAATATTTAAAAATTTGGTTCATTTTGCAAAAACTCCATTCTCATGTACCCATTTTTGGGACTTACATATTGGATGAACCTAGAGAAGTTACACAGTTTTCAAACTTTATATCCCACTACATGATCATCTGTACGGCTGGCTTTTTAAAATAATACAATCTTGCAGAAGAGAGGGAAGAACTGTGTTTATTTCGGGTGCCTGCACAGCCCACAGTAACTCCTGCCTTCTGCAGGGGGAGGAGGCCAAAGAGAAGTCACCAGTTTGTGTACCATCTCCAATGTGCTTGACTTCTTGATGCCATTGTGCTCACTAGGCTTGCAGTCGGATATGATGTTGTCTGTTTCAGTTGGCTTTGTAAGAAGAAAACGGGGACGCCTGGATGCCTCAGTGGGTTAAGCATCTGCCTTCGGCTCAGGTCATGATCCGTGCTGGGCGTGGAGCCTGCTTGAGATTCTCTGTCCTTCCTACCCCGCCCCCAAATAAATAAATCTTTAAAAAGCCACCTTTGCGTTCCTGTCTTGCTGCACTTGCATATCTTCCACCTTGGGTTTCATTTCTGTCCCTGCAGCCAGGCAGGTAATCCAGGATCACGTGTTACTTTGACTCATGTGGGCAGTCTCAATTATGCCCATGTTTTCCTGCTGCTCATTTGGTACCCAGTTCGGGGAGCGTTCCTCTTTCTGAGGTGGGAATAGCATTGTTGTTTTACCCTGCTGCTGTTTCTCCATTGTTTAAATAGCAGGTGTGCAGGGCTGGCGAGCTGCCTCATCTGCACCTGCTGGTGTGAGGTGTGCTGGGTGGGCTGCACCCTCTAAGCTGCGTGTTGCTTGACATCCTTGGGAGAAATGGGCCACAAACGTGAACCTGTGATTTTGCTGGGGTTGAGTGTCTGCATTTGCACTCGTGTGAAGTCCTTGCCTTTGATCTTCCCAGGCAGGTCTTCTGGCCCCTCCTGAATGCTGAGAGAAGGAGGCAGGCCTGCGTATGGCACCCCGGAGGAGTCGGTGGCTTGTCGTGCTCCTGCGTGGACGGCAAAGCTCGGGAGCCCTTGCCTGGGACTGAAGTGATCTGCTAGGTCCTCAGGCTGTCCTTCTGTGGAACAAGGATCCTTCTGGTGTTCTTCTGTCAGGCATTAGGACCTTCTGTGTCATGGCTATAGATACAACACAGTGGTTAGATGCTGTCCCTATGGCGAGACTCTGCTTAACAATGCCACCCTTCTCCTGGTTAGGGAGGTTTAAAATAAATGGTCTTTTGTCTCCTCCCCAGCAGCTACTTTGTGGCCGAATCCAAATCCTGCCTATTCTCACTCTGGATCAGGATGTCTGCCTTCCTCTTAGCCTGCACCTCGGCCTCCTGTCTGGTCTCCCGAATTTTCTTTTCCATTCCTAATGGCTCTGAGCACAACGTTCCCTGTGTTTTTCAAGTACGTTTTAAAGGGTGGCTCTTGTAATGTCATGGATCTGCTCAAAAGCCTTCACTGGCTCTGTGCCGAGTGGTGAACTTAATGCAAATTCCTTAGGCCCCCAGGTCTCCTACCCCCATTCCCAAGGCTGGTCCCCTGGATGTGTCCTGTGCCCCAGGCCAGTGCTCCGGAGTCACCTGGAAGACTTGTTAAAACATGGATTTCTGGGCCCCACCCCCAGAGTAGGTCTGCATTTCTAACAGGTTCCCAGAGAGGCTTTGCAGACCACAGTTCCAGCCAAACAGTCTGTAGTCTAACGGACCTCAGACCCTTCCTTGAATTTCTTTTCACTGCTTCTTCCTTCATTTTGAGTACTCCCCTTGGCCCATTCTACCCATCAAAATCCTGCACGTTCATCTGAGTTTTTTCCAATGCCACCCTTCAAGAAGTGATTGTCAGTCCCTCCAAATCCGAATGGCTCTGAGCATGCCTTCCTTTGGCCGCAATCCTATTACCTCTTTTATCAGAGCCTACCAGGGGCTGTAGTTATTTATATTCAATCTTCTTTTCCCCTCCTGGATGGTAAACTCTTTGAGAGAAACAAAGTAGAACTCCTTTGGTTTTGGTGGATAAACAATTTTTTGAGATAAGAAACCCCACTTCTAGTTGATTCTGTTCTGTTTTAAGGTTCTGTTTTAAAGGTTCTGGCAAATGCTTTGAGACTCTTAAAGGGCGGGGATTATATCTTATTCATATTTGAAGCCTCTGCAGCACTTGACTAATTCCTTGTCCATAGTAGGCCCATAATAAGTATTTGTTGAATGAATAACAAGCTTAAGTACTTGAGATACTGCAGGCCTGGAGAAATAAGGAGGAAGCCCTGCCTAGCCTTCTCGCTTCTCTGCCTGGAATCTTCTTTTAAACTGTGGGCCTTCTAGGAGAACATTTATTATTTTTAATGAACTGGTGTGTGGCATAGTTTAAACCTATTTATTATCCTTCCAACATGTAGCCTTGAATAGTCTCCATCGGCCAGGAAGACCTGAGGAGGGCGGGGCCTGCCTCATCCCCAGGATATTACTTTTCCAGAGGAGAACGCTTTGAAGAAAGAAGACTGATCTTTTATTTTAGCTCAGTATAATTATAATAACCTTGTTCTGTAAGACGTACACACACAAGTTGCTTATGGCCAGTGATGGTGGCCATGTAGCTACGCACTGGGAGGACTGGAGAAGCAGGGACAAGCGAGGGAGAAGTACATGTTTTTGAGGGTTTATTTTCAGTACTTGATTTTAAAAATTTACAAACTTAAGGAGCAACTGGGTGGCTCAATAGGTGAAGCGTCCTGGGATTGAGCCCCGTGTCTGGTTCCCTGCTCAGCATGCAGTCTGCTTCTCCCTCTGCCTGCCGTTCCCCCTGGCTTGTGTGCGTATGCTCTCTGTCTCTCAAATAAATAAATACAATCTTTAAAAAAAATTTATAAACTTAATATATGCTCACTGTAAACGACACACACTTTACAGAAATAGATAGAGCCTAGAGTTAAAGTACCCCTAGGGCTGGATCCTTTATAAATTTAATGTGATGTATTGGGAGATTTTGCTGTTTTAATGCCCCAAAAGTAAAGTACATGATGTTCACAGGACAGACAGCAATCTGATTCTTCTGATGGCTTCAGAATTATTTGCACTTCTGTACATACCTGAGTGTTACAGGTATGTTTCAGTTTTCCATTTGAGTGTTTCCCCACAGTTCCCCGCCTCAGCCAGCGCGCTCTCAAGGAGTGGCCCCTCATCCAGCTGCTCCGGAGAAAAAGCGAAGGTATGAGATCCTGCCTTGTGACATTTTCCCCATCCCTCCCTTCTTTCCTTCCTTCTTCCAGATGATATTCATGGAGTGAATAGTGGCAAGTAGACAGACCCAGTGCCAGCCTTTCGGGAGGTTTGAATCAGGATAGAGTCAGTGCCATCTCTGGAGACACACAGCTGAGCCCAAATCCCACACCAGGCACTTACTAAGCTGTGTGTCCTCAAACAGCTACCTGTGTTTCTGGATCTCGATTTCCTTATCTGTAAAATGGAAATGGGAGAAATATCTACCTCAGAAGTTACCATAGGGATTAAAACACATAGTGCATGTCAAATGATTAGAGAGGACCCTAATATTTGGTAAATGCTCAATAAATGTTATTATTTGCAGTTGGGGGAGCACAAAGGCAAAGAGTGCTGCAGGAGAGTATGCCCAGGCGTCCTAACATAGACTGGGACAACAAGGAGGCACAGTGGGCAGCGGGGGTGGGAAGGAGGTCCTTGCGGCAGGGAGGAGTGGGAAGGGAGGACGTGTGAGCCGAGGCTGGAGTCCGGAGCAGGGACAGAGCATGTGGGGCCAAGGACATGTGGTTCACTTCATCCACCTTAGAGATGAGGCAGCCAAGGCCCTGAAGGATGATTGCCTTCAAGTCCCCTTACTCCTGACGCAGTGCCTAGAAAACCCTTTACTCCTCAACTTTTATTACTTTCAATTGCCATCGGAGGCAAATCTGAATGTTTTTAGACTTGGGCCTGGTAGCGTGCAAGGTCCCCATGCCCAAAGAGGCCAAAGTGTTGGTGTCTGTAAGGGACCGCTGCCGCTCCAGGCCCCCCCCCCACGCGCCCACATCTGCCCTCCCTCCCTTCCTCCTTCCTGCCTTCCTTCCTTGGCCTGGGGGCATTCAGAGGGATAAGTTGGGTGGCAGGGGGTAGCTGAAGGGGGGAGAATTTGGGCTGCTCCTTTGTTTCCAGATTTAAATGATCTGATCCATGCATCTCTCATTTATCCAGCCAGCCATCTGCTATTCGTTCATTTAGTGACGCAGTCCACAAATATTTATTGAAGGGCAGATATAGGTCAAGCATTTGTGTAAGGTATTTTTGATAGTCAACCAACTAACCCGGTCTCTGCCCTCATACGGTTTATAATCTACCAGTAATAAATCAATAGCAATTTAGCACGTGTCCACACTTGATATGTGCTACGGGATGTGAAAAGGTATGCAGGCTGGTCCTAACCCCCACGAGGAATATACGGGCCTGTTGATCCCACCAGGCTGTTCCTTTACGGCTAGTTTATTTTTAATTTCCACAATAGGGGCGGCGATAGTCCCAAATCTCATTTCTCTCCTGCATCACATCTTCACAGATGCTCAGTGAGGGTTGGGAGAGGGTTGAGCCACACATGGTATTCAACAAGGAACAGAATTTCGTGAACCAGTGTTTTATTTTCCTTTTGGTCTCTTGAGTCTGGTTGATCTTGTCTAGAGCCCTGATAATCTCCTAGACAAAATATTTAAATCTCCCGCAGCTCTGGGGACTTTGAGGGAGGAATATTGTGGCTGAAATCCTAAATATTTTGGAATATAATTAATGCAAGTGTTACACACAGATGCTGCTCAGCACACTCTCCGTCCCAGGAGAGTGTCACTGTCTTTGTGTGTGGAAGTGTACATGTATGCTCATAAATTTCTCCAGCCTCCCAACTGTGCATCCCTCCCCCTCAGGGGCTACTCCCTGCTTCCCCCCTTCAGTCCCTAGTTGCCTTCATGGACATTTTTCTCTTTGTTTCTAGAAGAGGATGAAAAATTGTCATTGTAAAATGACTATTACGTGTTCCGGAGGAACTTGCCTTTTCGTAGAAATCAGAGCTTTACTCGGAAGGAGTGACTATCTCATTGTTCCATTTCAGATGTGGGTGGGGCTGGTTTTGGGGTAGCAGAATTTTCCAAGCAGTCTTGAAATCAGCACGTACAGGTATAGGCATAACACTCACTGCACCGGGGAGGCTACAGGGTTGCACATTTTTCAAGGAGGGTAAAGGCCTTGTGCTGTCCTGCTGATGCCTCTTTGTCCTGATTTTTTGAAAAAGGAAACCAGATTCCAGAAAAAAAAAGTTTATTAGTCCCACAACCAGATTCCAGAAAAAAAAAGTTTATTAGTCCCACACCAGGAACCCAGGATCACCCCTAGAAAAACCCTGAGAAGGAGGTGTTGCCACTTTATTTGACCCACGAGGCAGCTGGCGATTCCAGCAGTGAAGGGTCTTGCTCGAGGCCACACGGCTGAGTCGGGCTTGAGCCCTGGGCCCTCCGGCCTGGCTCATCTGCCCCAGGGAGACACCGCTCCCGGATCCCCACTGCCTCACCTTGCCTACCTCTTAGCCATTTTCAAGTTGTTACAAGTTACACACACAAATGTGCCAGGTCAGTTCCATTTTGAAATAACACAGCAGTTAGAAGGTGGGTAGTACTGAGAAGAATGTTATGCCCGAAAGAACACCATCCGGGCACAGCCACCTGCCCTCGCGATGGCTGGAAGAGGGGACGCGGAGGTCTCGCCTGGGCCAGGGAGGGCCAGTGACTGACTGCCGAGTTCTCCACGTTTCCAGATTTGGCCCGTTTGCCTTACAGCCCTCAGCCCTGCCTACAGTTTCGTCTGTGACCGCTGGAATTCTGAACTCAGAAAGGTTATTAGCCACCTGGATAATTGCACCTTTCTAACTTTTAAGACAACCACCTAGAGGCAGAGGATCGTTGCAATAAATGTCTTGTAATTCGAGGTCTTAGATCTTTGCTTTGTTAAAGCTGGTTAAAACCAGCTTTCCGCTTCCTTAGATTCACAACCTGGAGAAATCAAAGCTAAATGTTACCAGAAGCCATTATCTACTATTTAAAGCATGTTCTGAAATGGAAACAGGCCTCCTTTTCAGGGCAAGCGGGGTAAGGGGGTCCACTTTAAATTTTGCCAGGCTGCCATAGGGATTGGCTTAATAGGGAGAATTTTTTACCCCCAGCCATTCTTCACCACGGGGGTGTGATGTATCAGAGGAGGCACTTGCCTTTCTGTTTCAGGGAGGAGACATATTTCCTGTGGGGTTTTAAAGTTACTCCTGTTGATGTTGTTGCTATTTTATAAGTCTCTCTGAATATTGAATGGCAGGAGGCCTGTCG